GATGATGCGCGCTGGGTCTTGGAGAAAGGCTGGGGTCTGCCTACGAAACCGTTTTTCTCGGGCCTGGACGCGCGAACCCCGACCAGCGACGATGCGCACCGGGTCTATGAGAGGCTAAAGTGTACTGACGGAACTGTTTCTCCTGTGCCTAGACGCACACCAGCCAGAGATGATGCGCGCTGGGTCTTGGAGAAAGGCTGGGGTCTGCCTACGAAACCGTTTTTCTCGGGCCTGGACGCTCTGCAGGCTGCAATCGACCATCGCTGTAGCGTACGTCGCTATTGTTTGTACAAATGTGGTGGCGGGCAGGTTTTTAGTGAGCATGACTCTTTTCCTGCCTCCGAGTGCTCGTTTTCCCTCTCTGGAGGTTTTCCCACTCGACTTGTAGCTAAATCGTCACAATACATAGCACGCTTCTGCTGCTCCTCATGTCATCTTTTATGTGCCTCATTGACTACTGAGTTTTCCATCACACGGAGCAGCATGTAAGAGCGGATCGAAACGGAATATGGCGGTGACACTCCGACGACGACTGGCGTATCCGGATCGAGATCGCGATCTTGATCCGGATACAGCATGCATTTCCGTTTGGTCGGAATTTGCGTCCAGCGATGGCCAAGCGAGTTTGCCACGCGCAGCGCTCGATCGTCGACGTGGACGTCGTCGTCATGAGCCTCGCCCAATACACGGCGTCGCCCACGGACGTTGCTGCCTTCCTCCGTTCGCTGCCGCCGGTACTGCTCACGCCACCGCTGGCCGCGCTGCTCGAGGCGCTCCGCAGAGCCAAACCGCGCGGCGAGACCTTCCCTTTGCTGCTTCCGAGTATCGACGATGTGTGGCCGGTCCCGCGCCGCAACCGCATGTCCCCAGAGCTCATCGATCTCGTGGCCGCCGCGATACCCGTGTTTGTCGCCGTCGGCATGGATGGCCTCGGCCATTACCCGTGGCCTGCAGACCCGCTCGACTTTGACTTGACGTACTCGGCGTTCATCGCCAACTGGACGGCAAAGGTCAAGTACTTGACGCTTGGGCTGACCATCCGCTTTCCATCACAGCGCGCCGAGTTCCTCCGCCTCCTGCCCTTCTGCACCAACCTAGAGACAATTGGTCTTCGACACGACAACGAGATCCTCGAGCTCGTTATGTCGCATGCGCACCGCGTCCGTGACATCCGATTCAGCCTCGCCCACGAGTACCCAGAAGCAGGCTCAGAAGACCCGGTGGACGGCTTACGTACCCTCGCGCGCTGGCTCGTGTCTGGTCATGCACGCCATTTGGAGCTTGCGAGCTACGCAATGGAGTACGACGCCGGCCTTGCGGACGCCCTCGCCTCGTCACCGACGCTCACCAGCCTCTACTTAAACACGTCAAGCGGTGTGGTTCGCCAGCTTGTGGCGCATGGGCGACCGCTACGCCGCCTCTGCGTGCTGCAACTCCTCTTGACGACCCTCGGGGAGGCCAAAGCTATATTTCCGCTCGTTGACGTAAGTAAGCTCACGAAACTCAAGCTCTTCTGCCCCCGCCATGAAGATCTCACGTTCTTCGTCGCTGCACTGCCACACATGACAGCGCTCGAGGACCTCGATGTGAAGAACGGCAATGCAGGCGCGACTGACACCGCGGTCGATCTACCACAGCACTCGGCCATTCGCACCATGCGGGTGTTTGGCGTTGCCTTTGCAGACGACAACTTTCGCGCGCTTTTGCTCTGGGCCGCGCGCTCCCGCCGCCTCGAACGTATCGAGTTGCTGCACTGCCGCACTATGAGCCTCAACCTGCGATCCGTCGGCGACGCCTTTCGTCGGTGCATTGTCGCCGGGGTCCGCTACATTGGCCTCCGCGAGTGTGCCATCAACACTCAAGGTGCGAAGCTTCTGGCAGCTGCGCTTCAAGACGCCCATGCACCCGCACCCATGGAGATCGAGCTCTTCTTCAACACATTTCGACACGAAGGGACGATGGCACTCGTGGACGCGCTTCGAACCTGCACCAACCTCACAATCACAGTTTGGACCGACAAGAGAAGCGGATCGTCTTCTTCTCGGCGCACGAGCACTCGGGGACGCAGCTCTGCGCGACACAAGTGCTTCGGTACCCAGTATGTCCCATCCGTCGTCGGCGTGGCCGTCGACGTGAGCCAGGAAAGGAAGATTGTTATGTGTAGCGCCAAACGTCTCGACACCTAACACGACATTTTAATTTTACACTAGTGTTCAGCCACTGCTCCATCAAAGGGACCCGACGTTGTTGTAGCTCGACGACGCCATAGTGCAACAATTATGGTGACTCTATTAACTGTAAGCCCTACTAGTAACTTCGATCCCGGTGACTTTACCAACTTTCAAAAGTCGTATCGGTATTTGGACCATTTCACACATTGAAGGCCCGTTGTGGTGACTTGAAACATCCCGCCGCGAGCAGCACTTCGATCATACCGGTATGCGCAAGCGCCTCTGCGAAGCGGCCTACATAATGCATGGATTCTTTATGTCACTGAATTGGGCGTTTCTTCGTATCGGTAGAGAGTAGAAATAGAGTTTTTAGGAGGAGCAGGCATGGGCCAGCGAAACCTCGACACAGTTTCGATTTGGCTTCGGCCTGCTTGACAATTCATCGCTTCGACACCGACGTTTCGACTCGATGACGGCGACAGCGTCTCGGTCGCTCTTCGCTACGACACCTACGTTTCGACTCAATGACGGCGACAGCGTCCCGATCGTCTTTCGCTACGAAACCGGCGCGTCGATCCAACGACGACAGCAGCGTCTCGGTCGTTCTTCGCTACGACACCGACGCCCCGCTCCAGCTATGGCAGCAGCGTCTCGGTCGTCTCGTACTTTGACACCGGCGATCCTACTCAAAGACGGTAACGTTCAGGGCGTCTCTTGCTTCGGCACCGACGCGCCGCTTCAACGACGGCAGCAGCGTCCCCGTCGTTCTTCGCAACGACACCGACGGTCCAACGCAACGACGGCAGCACTGCAACAACGGCGTCAACGGCAGCAATTACGAGGAGCGCGAGCTCGAAGGCGAACGACGGCACTATGCGATCAGAGCACGACTGCCCTCCGTAGAAGCTCTCGTGAATGCAGCATCATATGCGTGTGGCGCCCTCAAAACCTGTTATCTCGTGATTGCGGAAATGTGTATGATGATACGTGCTCTTTTTTAGATATTGATGATGAAATAGCTCACGCGAGGGGTATCGACGTCAAGTTCACTCTGGACGAATACTTTAGTTCCGACACAATGCGCACATACTAATGAAACCTCAATAAATCATTGCGTATAGTGTGCCTGCACGACTGAATATGCTCTACCGGTACTCGAGTAATGTTACTCGGGACTCATCATAACGTTGACACTGCTCGGAAGATGGCGCGGCGCTTTTTTTCCCAAGTAGGGCACGCGCGTACTTGCCTGGGTGCAACTTAAGGCCGACGTTGTGGCAACGCTGGAGGAACTGCTGCGTCTGCACCATGAGGTCTTGGCGTAGCTGAGGACGTCGTCAATCCAAAGCAAGAGGGACTTGTAGAGCATCTCGCCGAAGATCTCCGCCACCCTCCCACCCTCCCACACCTCCATGGACGCTTGGTCGTGCGTGACACGACACAACCGCCAGTTGGCACGGTCGGACGTCCAAATGCCTTCTTCCGTCATGAAAGAAAAGTAGTCCCGGCTGTTCTCGTGGACGAGGAACTGCCAGTACCCCTTGAACACGTTGTACACACCGTAGCAGGTGGAACCGAGAAGGTACACCATGATCTGCTCCATGTGCGGCATCGGCCACTGGATCGGCTGGATGCAGCTGTTGACGGCGCGGAGGTCAAATATATCAAATATATGACGCCAGTCGTTTCCACCGGGCTTGCGGACGAGAAAATGCGGAGAGGCCCACGCGCTTGTTGCGGCAGAGCAGGCTGCAACGCTGCATCTTGAGGCAGTAGATCTTGAGTCAGAGACGCTGCTCGGGCACCATACAACGCAGAGGGCACTCTATTGCTGATAAACTTGAGGTGCTCGGCTCGGTCTGTGATGATAGGGCAGGCGCCTGCCCGCCGGCCGAGGAGCGCCATTTCGTGCGGCGACACTGCCGTATTGATCGGTGGCGGGACACTACTGACCGGCGACCGTGCGGGCACGCAGTTCGGGCTCGATGACGGTAATCGCACTGGACTTGCATCCGACGACGTTGTGGGCGTCGGGTGCTGCGGTGACTGTGCCGGCGCGTCGCGGGCCCGCTGGCACTCGCATTGGAGCTGGTCGACCATTTGCTTGCGCGTCGCGCGGTCCAGTGCATCGACAATCAAATCGGGCTCTCGCCGTTTGCACACATCGACGAGATCGGCGCGCAGCTTCTCGAGCTGTTTTCGCCGCTTCTTGAGGTACTTGTTGTCGGTGAGGACGACAGGCGACGTCGCGGGCGTGCTTGCTTCGCTCTTGTCGTCCTTCGGCGTTGTCAGTGGCGTCGACCCGTCGTCCGAGCTCTTGGCTTGCATCATGTCATCGTCCTTGGACAGGTCGTCCGTGAGCGAAAAGTGAATGGGGTGCGGATTATTGGTGAGCGTTTTTTGGATGAATTCTGAGCGTCTGGGAAATGGAGGGTATCTGAGCGGATCTCGACCATTTTGAGCGGTTTTAGATCGGCTAGCCGAGCTACTAACTGCAAAACGGATGACATCTGAGCGGTTCAAACCGTTTTGAAATCCTGATGTATTTACAGGTTTTGCCCAGATCCCATTTTCGGGACAAACCAATATTTTCGGTCTCGAGGGTGTTTTTACGCACCAGGGTCGGCGCGGCCCTACGGGCCTACCCGCCTCCACCTGGGCGTCCTTTCTACAATAAAGCCCTTTTTACGCGAAAGACGGGGGCTCGCTCCTCGCCAAGGCACGGCCTGCACAAAAGTCAACACCCAACCTCCGCTTCGCTGCGGTGGGCAGACTTTTCTGGGCCGATGCTCTGTCGTCGCTCGCATTAGTGAAGGTTTGTCCCAAAAACCCACTCACAGGTCATCCCTTATGGAATCGTTTTTTAGAACGGGTATGCCCCTCAAAATCCGCTCAGGAATCCCTCAAAAATGAGACGCTCAGGATTCAATCAAAAAACGCTCAGAAGTAATATTATTCCAAGTGAATGGTCGGCCGCGGTGGCGCGACGCGCTCGGCCGGCGCCTCCACCTCGTAGAGGCTTTCGCAGGCTTCGTCGCGCGTGTACATGACCATCCGGCTCGATGGCGTGCTCCTTTCATGCCCGAGACTCCCGGTATACTCGCATCGGGTGTCGGTACCATGGCGTCGTCAGAGGATGTCAGACAGGCAGGCGCATTGTCCCGCTCTTGTCGTCGTCGTAATCCGTTGTTACGTCGTCATTGACAAGGATCGCGGATGGCCGGACAGTCGTCGACGGCTTGGGCGAGTTGCTCGGTGGTCGGCGCTTTCGCCTTTTTTTCGTCTTCGCGCCCTTCTTGGTCACTTTCGTCCGCCGCAGGTCGCAAGCGTGCTGCTCTTCGACTTGCGCGAGTTACAGTCGCGCGCCGCGAAAGAGGCCTTGGGTCGCAATCAGTGGCGGCGCCAACGCAATGACCTACGCGAGCAGGTCGAGTGCCCGGACGGGACACGGCGTCTTGGTACGGCACAAACCACGGCGCGGGACAGGAGTACCCGGTTGTCCTTGGCGTCGGTCAAGAGCGCCGCGTCCAAGTCAGCGAGCGCGTTGGTGAGCGCACCGGCGCGGATGTAGGTATCGCCGCGTGCGGCGACCACGTTGAAGCTCTCGGGCTCTTGGTCGAGGGCTGCGGTAAAGGCGCCAATGGTCTTGAGCACATACGTCCGCGCTTCATTCTCCTCGCACGGCGCGGTCGTGGCCGTTCTCGGCCGAGAGGAGCGCCGAGTCCTTCATTTGATGCAGCAAAAAGCCGTTCTCTTCGTTCTCGACGAACTGCATGAGCGTCTCGGCGCGCTGGAGCAGCGACTCGAGCTTGACGTGCGTAAGCTGCCGCGACTCGAGCTCGACGACGCGGTCGTAGTCGACCAAGGCCAAGTCAAACTTGCCGAAGAGAGTGTAGATAAGGCCGCGCTGGCGGTACCCGTCGTCACTGCGCGGGCCCATCTCGATGGCGCCGCTAAGGAAGAGTTCCGAGTAACCTGCGAGACGGGCATCGGCCAATCAGAAGCCAGAAAAAAAAATCGTTCCGTCTCGTGCGCATGGTTGTGGGCCGACCTCCAGGATGTCAGCTCGCACCAATTCATCCCGTCTCGTGATTACGCGATTTGATTGGGCAAATCGTTGGATGGAGACGCGGAGCAAATGTCGCCTTTGCAGTTGACATTTTCGATTGCAATGGCCACAAAACTCGAGCAACGTGATGACCACATGTAGGTTGGCTTAAGTGGAGCCCGCGCTCACTTTCTTGGTACTACAACAAGGCTTTGCCGGCTTCCGTCAAGAAGCGACCAAATTGGTTGGCTAAAATTCTATTGAATAATAGCCAATCATAGCGCAGATGGTTTTTCGTCGTATTTTGCAAATATCGTTCCGAGTAAAATGTGCCCGTCTCCCATCCGTCCCATATTTTTACTCGGAACTCCTCCTAAAGTCCTCGAGCACGTGCGTGAGGTGGCCGGGCATATGCCTTGCCGCGGGCGAGCCGCGCGCCCTTGATCTTGTCTGGCGCGCCCAAGATCTCGATCGTCTTGGTGTGGTCGTAATGAAAACTGAATTTTGTTTGGCGACAATCTTCTCTTCCCGCGAGAGACCCTTGCGCTGCCGGACGCCCTCGAGGAGCTTCCAGACGGCGTTGTGCTCGGCGATCGCCTCGCCAAAGTCTTCGCGCTCCTCGTCCTTCGTCGGCTGGAAGAACGGGTCGTCGGGCATGACGGCCCAGTGGTCAAAGAGCAGCTGCGGGTTGCTCGCGTTCCCGCTCGTGGTAGCTCGGTCGCAAAGCCAAAGCTCTCGACGACCGGCAGATACACCTCGACGCTGTAGAGCGCGCTGCCGTCCGAGAGCTCTTCGCCGACGACACACGCCTGGCGCTTGGCAAACACACTATTCGCTGAGAGTTGGATCGATGCAATAAGATGTGATGTGGTAATACCTGTAGAGCTTGCCGAGCTGCTCCGATTGGCACTGCACCGTGCACTTGTACATGGCCTTGACGAGGCGGACAGGCGCGTGCACAAACGCGCTGCGGCACCTCGACTTCATGCCCGAGATCACGAGGCCGCTCAACGGACCGTAGGCGGCCTCGGCCCCGTCGTCGACCGGCGTAAGCACAATGTCGTCGACAATGAACGCGACCATCCACGCGGGCTCATCGCAGAGCGGACCGGCCGCCGTCGCGAGCTGGAAGCCCGAGACGAGCAAAGACTCGAGCTTCATGCGCTCGTCCGTCACGAGCCCGCGGTTCAACACCCAAATGGTCGAGGGCGCCATCCAGTTGGGCACGTTGTTGATCAAGAGGTTCGGACCGACCTACGCAAACCCTTAAGATACGCAGGGAGTTGGTGGTGGTTTACCCGGCGAGGACCGCAACTCCGGAGAAGGTCGAGGTCCATCGTCGTCCAAAAGGCGTCACCGCAGGTTTTTTTGCGAGGACAGCTTGGAGCTCCGTCCGCAGCCTAGACTCGCTCTCAGTTCAGAGTTGAAAAATGTCGGACGTACGTGGCGACGTCCGCATCGTCGTCGTTGCTGTGGAAGCGCTTCCAGCCCTCGGCGTGGGCCTCGAGCACGTCAAGGTCTGTCGATGGCAGCGGCACGGCACGCAAGTGCACGGCGACTTGGCCGTCCGGCGTCGGACACACGAGCGTCTTGTGCTTACCGTCCGGCGTCGTGCTGGTCGTCATTTCGGCCAGCTTGAGGTCCTTGAAGATCATACTCAGCCTACGAATATGTGTCAAGTGTTATGTGCAATGCAACGAGAAGCGTACAAGGCCGTGCCCCCGTCTCGTTGGCGACGATTGTCTCGCGAAAGCCCACGAGCGGCTCCGAGACGTGCAGCGGGACCTTGGCGAAGCGCTCTGTGAGGTCCTTGACGCAGCGCTCGAGGTGGAGTTCGCCGAGCGCCACAAGCACGTGCTTGCCTGTCTCCTACTCGTTAGTTAGTACTACGTAGTAGTATTTTGACTGGAGAGTATTGCAATTGTACCAGAACGTGGACTTCGACCGTCGAGTCGGAGCGGTAGAGCCGCTGCAGACATGCTTCGAGCTCGGCAAAGTGGCGCGGGTCCGCGGGCTCGACCGCCACGCGCACGATCGGCTTGGCCTGGTACGGCATTCGCGCGAGGGACGGGCAGGCGAGCGTGCTCAAGAGTGTCGCTGCACAAACGAAATTCGTCAAAAATCAGAAAATATCAGAAAATATTTGTGGGCACCTGTCTTGAGCACGTGCTCGTGGAGGCCGAGGATGCCCACAATGTTGCCGGCAGCCACGTGCTCGACGCGCACAAAGTCGCTGCCCATGACCATGTAGAGGCGTGGCTGCTGCCAATGCCCTCGCCGTTGTACTTGGGCCCAAGCACATACGTGGGCGCGTTCGGACGGAACGTTCCCGAGAAGACGCGCGCGACAGCCACATACGCCTCGGCGCCGCGGTTGTCCTAGGTGCCGAGTCAATATTGATACTTTAAGAATAGGATCAACCTCCTTGATCGGGTACATGGCCCGCAGCGTCGCGTTCGTCGCATAGTCCGAGAGGTTGGTCGCCTCGACCGAGAGCATCTTGCAAATGTACAGCGTTCATAAAGGTACCTTGAATCGCGGCCAAGGTCGGGAGCTGGTCCGGGAACGCCGGGTTGACGACGCAGAGGTGCTCGGCGCGGCTCTTTTGCGCCGTCACAGGCGACGGCAGCATGCGCGTCGCCATTTTGAGCACGGACGTCGCGAGCGGCAGCCACTTGCGCATGACGCACTGCAGCGCGAGGCGGCGGTCCTTCTGCAGCAGCTCGCGGTCGCTCACAACTTGGCCACGCGGAGGTTCTACATTGAAATTGATGCAGTGATGTATACCGTCGTCATCAAGAGATATGTACCTTGGTGAGCTGGCGCAATGGCGGGAGCGCGTCCGGGTTGTGCTCGGTCGGCTCTTCCATGGCCTTGTAGATGGCCATGAGCGGCTCGAGCACAAATGTCACAAACATGGGCTGGTTGTTGGACATCCACGGCGTCGACCGGGTCTTCTTGGTCTTGCCGTGCAAGTAATAGTACTCGCCCCAGAGGCCTTGGCGCCACGACCCTTGCGGCATCTCGAAATTCTTGGCGTAGTACGCGGCAAAGTACCCAATACCGAAGGCCCACCCGTCGTACGCGCTCGCAAAGAGCACGCTGCAGCGCGCCGGCAACGTGCGCAATGATGCAGATGTTGCGGATGTGCGCCGAGTCGCCCTGGAGGCTCGCGAGCTGCGCCGTGCCAACGACATGGTCCTGCTGCTCCTTTTGAAATCCAAGCCTGGCAGCGTATACGGATGCGTCGTCGCATCCGGATACATCGCGGTCACAATACCCAGCTCTCGCGTGCACATATACGATTCCAGTGACACGGGACAGATGCTGTTGGCGCAACGTTGGCCTGCGTCGAATGCATCCAAGTGCCATCCAGAGCGACCTCAGCCGCCTACCAAGCGTTGCACGGGCGGCTTTGGCCCGCGAGGCCCAGCATCGTGCTGCTGTGGAAGCCGACGCCGTGCAGCGGTTGCAAAACCTTCTACGCGCACCGTCGCAGTTCTAGACGGACATTGAGTGCGGCGCGCACGGCTACACGGTGGATTGGACGCCGCGGCTTGGCGCATGCGTCGGCCGTTTTATACCAGGAGGAGCGCGCCTTCTGCTCGAGCAGCAGCGTTGGCGTCGTGCGATGGAGACCGTCCGCGCCGACGCTGCCGCGAGCTTCATGGTAACCTTAATGCATGTACATGTACATCTCCAGGGTGTCTATCCGGGAACGGACCAACAACTGGCATCTTGCAGCGGTGCCAACTGCAGCGGCCAGTCCGCAAATGCAGCCACCACCACCGGCGCTGGTTGACGTGGATGACGAGTCTTGCTCCGAGCAAGACTGCGCGCCGGTGAGCGGCAACAGCAGCGCGTGGCTGCCATGTGTGCGTGCTCGCGTGTTATCCGCGCTTGGTACCGAAAGCCTTAAGTTTGCCGACGGCCGCTGCAAACGCGGACCGCGTCGTTCGGTTGTCACGAGCGTCGCCCGACTAGCATCATTGTATCGGTGCTGAAACGATTGCGATTGGCCAGTCGTGTTGACAAGCTGCCCTCTCTCGAGTGCGTGCGCTCCGTTTCAAAAGGCGGAGATACTCCTTTCACGACGTTGCACACGACCGGCGCTCGATGATGAATGGGAACGCGGTCTTCGAGTGCGATGTAAGTGTGGACGACCCGCCCGGGGCTGGTTCACCATGTTGGTCCTATTGGCCAAAATCATCTAGAATGCTGCCGCACGATTCGACGACGCATCAACGGCGTGCCTCGTCTCGGTCCCTTTTGATACGACAAGGCGTACTAGTACAGTACAGTGTAGTTCTTTTCTGGAAGCAAATTTGCGCCAGCTATTCGCGCCGTGTCTCTCGTGTGTTGGCGGGATGCGGCGCCGTGCCTTTTTGAAGACAAGACGCAGCCGTGCTTTTAGCAAGCCGGCTACAAACCTCGTCCTACGGCTCGCGCGCAAGAACCCACTGCCACGCATGGGGAGGGGTTCTCTAGCTTGCATATGTAATAGTGTGGTAGTGTATTTCGCTAACCCACCGCGCTCCACCCGAGCGCAATACACTGTCTGCATTCCCCCAAGCCGGAGTTGAAATGTACTTCAAGAGGAGCTGGTGCCACTTCGGAGGCTATCTCGAAGTGATCGACGCGCGATGGTACGTGAAGTTGTAGAGCCTGTCTGCCGCCACAACGCGCAGAAATCCTGGCTTGGGTTGGCTCGCCTGTCGCTCTTTGGGGATGGCAGCTCATGCTGTACAGAGCAACCGAGAGACGTTGCGATCCTGGCTTGAGAAGGGGGTGGACAAGGCGTCGCGCCGTCTCTCATGCAGTGGCTGGCTGCCAGCGCACGGCGACCTACAACTTGCCCCGCAAAGATGTCACTTTTCAATTTTCAAGGGCATGAGAGACGTTGAAGAAGTTCCAGACGTCGAGTACATTTGTACTAGTACTCGGCTTGCGCCAACCACTCGCGCCGAGATGCCCTGCACAACGGTGGTCTTCTGCAACGTCTGCGGCCAGGAGCCAAGCGAGCATGTGGTCGCGAGGTGCCACCACTACCGTACCACTACTCGTTTGTGCTGCTCATGCTCCACGCCGGTGTCGTGATGCTCCTGCTGCTCAACGTGCTCTTGGCGACCATGAACGAGACGGTCGCCGACGGTCTCCGCGCGTCGCAGCGAGACGCCGTGTGGAGCTACGCGGCGTGCATTCTGCGGCTGGAGCT